CCTGGTGGCTTGAAACTCATGCTGGGTGCGTGTGTGTGCATGCCCAAGATCCCAGGAGGAGAATGGAGGAGAAGGGACTATGGTGTGGCCATCCTTCCGGGGGGGGGAGGTGATTTCTCACTTTCTCTCTCACTGTCTCCGGCTCTCTCTCTCTCCAGCAAGTGCATGTACTTTAAAGCAATAAACCACTAATGAAATAGAAAGCATCTGTATTCATCCATGGACTGGGTATATAACAAGCACCACGAAGAGCCTACAGGGGCTCGGAAACAAGTCAATAGCACAGAGGAAAGGCTGAGAGTCTTTAAACACACTCAACCTGTGGAGTTCCAATGTGGGAATACTCACATTCACAAATGAGTTGGTGCTACCCTGTGTTTCTGCAAGCAGTGAAGCTTCATAACCTAACTCTGTGTTTCCTACTTTTCCCCCCCTAAGCTTATTTATTTCTTCTTAGAGGGAGAGAGAAAAAGAGAGAGAGACAGAGAGAGATCCCCCACCAGGGTCTTCATGCCATAATCTAATCCACCCTGGCCTCAGCCAGCCTGGATCACAGGCACTGCACACATGCAGCAGCGTGTACAGAGAGGCCCCCTGAGCAAACCTGGAACTGTCCCACATGGACCCGGCATTGCAGAGCACCACATTACTGCTGGGCCATCACTGCTAGTCCTGCTCTCTCCAAGGAATATGTTACAACTGCTTTAACTCTATCAAAGGGAAAGGGGAAAGCAACTCGGGCTGAGTAAGCCCCACTGACAATGCCCACACAGCTCCGTTGCTGTAACAGTAACAGCTGTGTGACTGGGCGCTTACTCCCATCAGACTCTGGGGTAACCCTGGATGTGTAACGTTCCACTCAACCCTCTTAGCAGCCCTTTAAAACAGGCACTCCTTCTGCGCCTGCTTTAAGGTGGAGAAATAGAGGTGTAGAAAGCTGAAGAAACTTGTGTTGATTCCCACAGCCACTCAGCAGTGGCACAGAATCTGACCAGTAACCACAAGGCCAGTGACCAGTGAAAACCAGTATGTCTTCACTACTTAAGACAGGAGAGCGAGCAAGGGATACAGAGAGGGTGTCCAAGCACAGAGCACCTGAGGGCAGCAACCTCAGGCCGAATCTGCCCTGCAGAGCCTCCAAGTTTACAGATCTCTTACAAATGCTTGCCTTGAGCACTTCTTGCCCCTTTGAGAAGGCTCCTGAGTTTGCCCATCCATCCTGGGATGGAAGAAGTAGTGGTTTTGGAAGCTACAGATGGAGCAGCAGATGGGAAGTGAAAACCTATCAGAGTTGCCCAGAATAAAACCATTCATCTGCAAAATTCCTATGTTTCTGTGTGGGGCGACTTCAGGAAAACAACAGCATGAGGAACCAGCGGTGCTTGGTGCATACAGTGCCTCTGGCCACAAGGCTGGCAACACAGAGTGGGCAGAACTTGGGGAGGGGTACATCATGGAAAGGAGACCAGGGAGCGGGAGAGGGAGAGATGGGCCAAGACGACAGAGGAGACACATGGGGACCTGGAGCATTAAAGGGAAACAAGCTATAAATAAGATGGCTTTCCAGGGCCAGCAGATGGCAAAGCAGTTATGTTGCTGGACTCCTGCATGGCTGACCATGGATCGAGTCCTGGACCTGGTGGCTTGAAAATCATGCTGGGTGTGTGTGTGTGCATGCCCAAGATCCTGGGAGGAGAATGGAGAAGGGACTGCAGCATGGCCATTCTCCCTGAGCTTGAGTTCTCACTTTCCCTCTCACTGTGTGTCTCTCTCTCCGAGGAGCGCATGTGCCTTAAGGCCAAAAACTCTAGGAAATAAAAAAAGATAGCTCTCATCCCTGAACCCCAGGAATGTCTCAGAAAGGATTTCTTGGCACCTCACAGCTATGAGATGCAAACTTGGGTGTAGCTTAGACACCGACAGGTGACATTTACTGAACACTTTTCAGGTGCCCGACACTCTCTAGCTTCCATTTTTACATCCCAGTTTCACAGACTGAATTATCTGCTGATGGTCACGCTGCTGTTAAGTGGCAGGACTCACACTCAAGCCCTTGGCAGCCTGATCAGAGTCTGAGTACTCATTGCCCTGGATGCTGGGCAGAGCCGGGCTCTTCTGGTGAATGGGGCCAAGGTTACAGCTTCAGTTTGTAAATCAGCACAGCATAGGCCTCTAGGGGGCAGCAGCCCACCTGGCCTCCAGAAGCGTCTGGCCAAGCAGTGCCACCTGACTCAGGCTGACATACTCTCCATGGAGACCTGGAGAGGAAGAGTGTGGGGACCTTGGTCACGGAACCTCAGACTCAGGATACAGGTGGCCCTTCATTACCTTCCCTGGACAGTCCTTGCTTAGAGGCAGCTACCACTACCCTGCCCAGGCATAGGCTCGAGGGCTGGGCAGTCTCCTGTGCTTTGCAGGCGGTCTGAGGCTATTCTGGGCCTGCTAACTTCCTTGAGGGCCCAGTGTCAAGCAGAAAGAATACTAACTTTGAAACCAGACAGAATCCCTGCCCTGCCATGTATTTGCTGCATGACTTTGGGTCTGAGTTGGCACATCTGTGAAACAGGTTTGCGCAGAGGATTGGAGGAAGAGCTGTCACATCAGCTGCCACACTCAGCATCCTGGGACATTTATGAACTCAGTCCCTGCATGAAAGATGGAAGGAGAAAGTTCTAACCTCCTCTGGTCCCGTCTTGTATACGCTCAGCACTCATAATTCTTCCGTTTATTACACACGTCTGCTTATTAGAATGTTAGAATTTCTCAGGGCCAGCAGATGGCATAGTGGTTATGTCACAAACTCACACATGGCTGACTGACTGTGGTTCAAGTCCTGCACCCAGTGGCTTGAAAGTCAAGCTGGGCATGTGTATGTGTGTGTGTGCGTCTCCAAGACCTGAAGGGGAGAATCAAGGAGAAGGGATTTTGATGTGGCCATCCTAGGAGGGAAGGGAAATTCCTCACTTTCCCTCTGTCTCTGTCTCTCTGGTGAGGGCGTACAACCTATAGCAAAAACCTCTAATAAAAACAAAGTTGTCACTGACGCAATCTGCATTCTCGTCCCTTCTATCAGAAGCAGTGGTTCTCAACTGAAGGGGATTTTGGCCCCCAGGGGACATTTGAGTGTCCGGAGACTTGTGTGCTTGGGTGTGTGGGGGCTGCTACTGGCACGTAGTAGGTGGAGGCCAGGGATGCTGCTCACCACGCCACAATGCACCAGACAACCCCCCACGATAGGGGATTAACCAGCCCAGAGCATCCGCAGTGCCACAGCTGGGAAATCCTTGTCTAGAATGACCTTCTTTCTCATTTCCCTGCCAATTAATCCCTTCTCCTCTGGCAGGCTTCAACTCAAAGCTGAGTACTCAGTACTTACTGACCCCCTGATGAGGCCCCATCTGATTTTCTGCCCTCTCACGTCTTCCTCTCCTTATGGCCCTCTCTTGCGTGATTATCCAGTTATGGTTCCAAAGTAGGACGTGAGCTTCATGAGGCAGAGGAGGAGTAGAAGAAGCCACTAAATGCCTAAACAGTACGTAGCACAGTAGTTACTCAATAAACATTTGTCAGATGAATGAACAAGCCATAATAAGTAAACACTGCAGGGAGTTCTATGACCACTCCATTTTATCCCCACTATCCTTTGAACAAAAGAAATCAGGTGTCTTTCTAGTTGCCATCATTTTTCTCAGGTTCAAGGATGCCACATGTACTTTGTCCACAAGACCAGACTGTGCCCTCTTCCGTCCCCTGCAGGGTCCAGGTCTCCCAGCAGATGACCAGACGCTCGCAAGCCCAGGACTGAAGAAAGGCGCCAAGGCCTCATGGAGTGAAGGAAATAGAAGCCACATAAAGCTTTGAAGAGAGGGCCTCTTTCCATGTCAGCGCCTTCTTTGTACCCTGATTCAAAACCTACACTCTTGGAAATATGTGACCTGGATATGTGGCATTAGAATGCTCATTCGCAACTCCCTCTGTCTAAACCACTTTCATGGTCAGTGTGACTCACTTTCATCTCCTTCCATCCTTCGCTTAAAAATTTTTTTTAAGGTTTTTTTTTTTTTAAAGTTTTGTTATAGGGAGCATGTGCTCACTGGAGAGAGAGAGAGAGAGAGAGAGAGAGAGAGAGAGAGATCCACTCTCGAAGGCCTGGCCATGCCATAACCCCTTCTCTATTCTCCTCTCAGGACTTTGGGCACACATGCCCAGTGTATTTTTCAATCCTCTGGGTCTAGAACTTGAATTGTGGCGTCAACCATGTGAGATCCAGCGCCTTAACCACCATGCCATCTATTGGCTCCCTTCCATTCTTCATTTTTTAAAAGAGAAATTCACGACAGAATGTGTGCATGGGATGGGGGGAGAGGGAGAGAGAGCGAGCGAGTGTGAGCAAGCTTCTCAGGGCTGGGTCATGCCATGATCTCCCTCCTCTAGTTCTCCAACTGCCAGGATCTGGGCACTTGTGCACATGCGCAGTGAGTTTTCAGGCTGAAAGGGCTGGGGACCGAAACCACGGTCAACATGCGGTTTCCAGCTCTGGAGTCTAGAATGTTACCAACTGTACCACAGAGCCTGGGCCACCTTCTTCCATTCTTATTGGAAAGGATGTTCCTGGTATCCTGGGTAGGGTTCCTGATCTCTCCCACTTCTGCCCTCTGCTTTATTTCTGATACACTATTTATTTATTCTGTTGGTTGTTTATCTCCCTGATGAACAGAATCTCTGTGAACTAGTTTAGTGCACTAGTATATCCCCAGACAGAGCTGGCGAAACCTTGAGCACCATAAGCCTCTGTTGATGTGTGAACGAATGAACGAGTACATAAATGGTTCTCAGGTCCAACCTGACTCCTAGGCTCCGAGAGATCTTATGGAGACGGTGGTAAGCTTTCCGTGGTACCCCCAGACCACCTCTGCTTCCTGGTTTTCCAGCTATGACAAAGGGGTGTGAGAGGGAGCAGGCCCTCAGACCAGGCTGGCTGGGGCCACGGCCCGCCTTACCTGATGGGATAGTCGGCTGCACTCAGGTTGATGAAGAAGTCCCAGGGCCAGTCAGTCATCTCCAGGAGGTCCCGCATGCTCTGCAGGTAGGTGGACAGGAGGCTGGCTCCGCCCCAGATGGTGGCCATCCTCCAGGGTGTGACACGGACGTTGCTGTATTGCCTGGCGAACTGGAGCACTTGCCGATGCAGGTAATTAGAGCGCTTTCCCCAGGAGAGAACAGGTGACATTCAGCAGCCCCAAAAGAACCAGACACACCCCTCTGTCCCTTCTCTCCTAGTGGACTTTGCCAAGTCAGTGATTCTGGCCTGGGGCATATTGCTTCACCACTAGCTAGTCCTTTATTATTTAGATATTTGAAATGCAGATTCCCTGGCCCTGCCTCTGAGCTACTGGTCCTCCAGGCTTATGCTGGTGGTGCCCGGGACTCTGTTTTCACGTGGGACTGAAGCTTGTGAAATGAGGATAAGAAGTGAAAAAATAGCCTTCTAAATATGGTTCTATGACATTTAAAGGTTGCAAAAATGGAAAATTATATGTAGATGATAACATGTATAATACTCTCTTTAACTGGACTAATATATGGTGGATTCATGACAGGAAAATTTATTTTGCATGCTGTAATGATACACAGTGATTGAAAGTATAAAAAATAATAAACTATATTAAAAATAAAATAAGTAAATACAATTCTACATAAATGTGAAGAGTATTTTGGGGGTAGATTGTTGGCTTTCTGCCCCCATCTACCCACTGCCCCTCCATTACCCTCTCACAGGCCTGGTAAAAGCAGACCTTTTGGATCAAACGTATCTTCTGTGATCTTAACTAAAGACATGATCGTGTCATGAGTGCTCAGGGGACAGCAAGTCTGCTGCAGTTTGTTTTAATAAAGTTTTATTGGTTCACAGCCACGCCCATCAGTGAACATCCTCTCTGTGTTGCTTTCCCACTACAAGGGCAGGGCTGAGTAGCTGTGACAGAGTGCATATGGCCTGCAAAGGCTGAAGTGTCTCTTTTGGTTTGTGTTTTGTTTTGTTTGTAGAGAAATTTTTGCTATAGGGCATGTGGACTCACTGGCGAGACATAGAGAGAGAGAGACAGAAAGCGAGAATTCACCCCCTAGAGGGGATGGCCATAACGCAATTCATTCTCCTCTGTTCTCCTCTCGGGATTTTAAGCATGCACACACAAGCACCTGGCATGAGTTTTAAGCTGCCAGGTCTGGGACTTGAACTGTGGTCAATTATGTGGGCGTCCAGTGACATAACCATTATGCTATCTGCTGATCCTGGAGTACTTACTTTCTGGCCTAGAACTGAAAAAGTGTGCTCACCCCTGGGGCAGTGATTCCCATGAAGTCTGTGGGCAGCAGACCAAGGGCACTGGGCAGTCAGGAAAGTGGTAAGAAAAACAGTGCTGAGGAGAGGCAGTGCTGTTTCTGGGCCTTCTCTGGACTGGGAGGTGGGAGGCGGGGATCAGAGAGGGACAGACAGACTGTGGAGGAAGCTCGGAGGAGGCATCTTACCTTGTCTACATGGATGTAGTAGAAGTGGTCTTTGTGGTAGACGGCCTTGAACATGCGCTGCAGCTGCCGAGAGGCGCGGCCGTGGACCACCAGGACGAAGGCAATTCTGACAGGGTTGGCTGGCATGAACTCCACTGAGTCTTCGTCCCACTGAACGTTCTTGTTGGCTTTGCCTGGGGAAAATCCAAAAGGCCACAGAGGTGAGGCTGAGGCATGGTAGACCTTTGGCTAGGCATGGTTGACATCAGTTTTTCTGGTGTGTCTTCTGGGGATTCTTCAAGGGGCACCACAGTCGTACTGGGCCCTGAAACTGGATTCACTCGACCACGCATGTCCTAAACCCTTACTGTCCAGGTGCAAAAGGAGTAGGGGACCTTGGGTGCTTATGACATAGTTTCCATCCCCAGGGAGCCTAAAAAGGCTGGTGGGGGCATAAGGACCCATATTATACAATGGAACATGGCAGGAAGAAGTGGGAATCAGAAGGCGTGTCTCTCTGAACCACAGCTGAGAAGTATGTGCTGTTTTTGCCTGTCTAGACTCCAATCTCTCTTCTCCTAACAGATTATTTATGTGTGTGTACGAGTGTGTGCATGTGTGCGTGTGTGTGTGTGTGGGGTTTACTTGTCTCTCTCTCATGAAAGAAATAAACTCTGTATTTCCAGAGAGAGAGAGAAAGAACCTTGGCAGGGTCTTACATTATGACACCCACCCCCAGCTTTCTGAACCAGGATCATGGAGGTGTATACCTGGCATGTACAAGTCCACCAGGGAATCAAACCTTCCCTAAGATCCTGCGTTCCTTGAGCAGAGTGCACACCGAGCTGGCTATATCTGTTTAATTGTAGTAAAAACATACGATGTGAGATCTACCCCCTTGACTAATCTCTAGGTGTACAGTGTGGTACTGACTGTAAACACCTCTCCCAGCAGACCTCCAGGCGTGCTCATCTCGCCTAACTGAGAGTATATGATACTTGGGAAGCATCAGCCGTCCCCTCCTGTCTCAGTCCACATGGATGGGAAGACCTAACTCCAGGATTGGCTCCATGAGTGGCGCTAGAGCTTAGGCCTGGCCGCTCAGAGCTCTGCATCATCCCTGGCCACAGTCTTGTTCAGAGAGGACCATGCGACCGAACCAAGCTAACCAGCCGTAAGACGGAATTCCAGACTTCCGTTCCAAGTACCAGTAGGAGAGGTTCTCTG